TCGAGTACTATTTTAATTTTGACACTGATTGTGAATGAAACAATAATCGTTTCCCTCTTTTACGAGACTTTTGGAGCATGGAACTAAAGCACCACATCGATTTGAGGCTTTGTACATATCCAAATTTTTTTAACATGTATCAATCCAGTATGAATGGGATCCTATCCGATACATTGATGGGTTACAATAATGTCTTACGGGGCGAATAATCTCATGCTTCGCTCGGTTTTAGAATAGGTATCCCGAACAAATTTAAGGATACATAGATCTAAACGAGGCCCAAGTGCAAATGCGATTTCAAAGTCGCACATCCTAACAAAAATATTAAATTAAACATTTCAAGCAGTATACTTTTACCAAGCACAAGATAAAATTATATATATAGGAGACTGTGACAAATGAAAATACATGTACGAATTAGTTATCAATATAGAGCGATAAATTATACTCACAGCAAAACAAACCAAAGAGAGCGAAATCTTCTTGAGCACCATCCCAATCGCCGTCCAAAACAGCAAGACATCCCTCCCAAGCCGTAACCATGGACCGCCACTTACGACCCCATTTCATGATCCCGGCCGGTTCATTCCTTGTCATGATCATGATCTCCGCCTCGGTCTCTCTCGCTTCGACGGATCGCTTGCGCTCCCCGATCCCATTGCAGGAAAAAGCTGACCGGTTCGCCTCCGACAGCGTTCTACAGGATCGGCGTCGGTGATCTCCCGAGTGTGCTCCGCGTGATTGTGTCGGCACCAGTTGAGCCACTCGGGCTCAGGACAGCCTCATCTCTACCATCTCCACAATGCCGACAATGCCACAGTCTTAATGTCTTCTGCACCGTGGCTAATGAAATAAAATATGTAGACAAGCAATTTGTCAAGCACCTGATATTGAGCGCGGCAAGATTGCCTTATCGAAGATCTTACCATTTTTACCCGACGAGTGTTTGGACTTATTGGCGATGTAGCCGATATACACATGAAAGACGTGAATAATCCCGTCGATTGTGATGATCCCCTCATGTCCAAAGTCTCGACGGAGAAAACGGGCACTTTTATCGCTCGAACCGCTTGATATTTCTTTCATCGCTTATCTCCGCCAACGCATTTTCAGATTATACCCATCGTTTTTCTAGAAGTTGGGCTAAAACCTGAACGTCATGAACACCTCTCTCACCCTCCCAGCTAACACACTGTGTTATAGTGTCGTGTATGGGTGTAGCATATATTCAACTAGCGATCGCAAGTGTTATTGCAAAATCGATTGAGAAAGTGATAGGTGTACCAGAGATTTGGAATTGCATACTATTTAGGTGAACAGCGAGCTCCTAAGTAAGATTTAGATATGATAATTAATCAGGTGTCATGAGCCACAAGACACATTCCCTTAGAGGAGACAAAGTCGAATGACATTCCAACCGAGGAACGATGGTGAAGGTCACATTGATCACGATAAGCAGAAGACAAAAGATTAATAACATTAATTACCTGATAATTACGTTAATCATGATAATTACATTAATCAAGTTGTTCCAAGTTTTCGAGTGTATTTATGGGGAAGCTGAACCTGTACACATCCCTCAGAACGACGTACTGAGTTAAATTATGTGCGGTGGGTAGGTTTTGCACCTATCAAAGCCGGCCAGCAAATGTGGAGTTTCCCAATTTTATTTTTTTTTGTCTATCTTAACTCTAACTTTCCTTACTCTCTGACTTTTGCTCTACCTCATGCGGAGTCGAATTCCGTATATATTAGGATCTTCACTCTCCAATCCCTTTACCAATAGGGTCGCATGCTTATTGACAAGTCTCCCCAGTTTTCACAGCTATAATTCAGTTGTCCGTATGATTCGATAAAGTCTCCTCCTGAAGTTCATGCGTACGGAGAACGCGAGCGAAGGAGAAGTTTTCTCCGCAAGCCCATGCGAACGTGCTCCGCCTTAAACTTGCGAAATAGTATCCGTACGCACATATTTATATTTTTCTCTAAAAATAATCTCCGACCCACCCAATAGTTAAAAAAATTAATTGAAGATTGAACATGTTTCTTGTCAAATGTGTTTCAAATGAAAATGTGGGTCAATTCTGTAGGCGAAAAGAATTCAAGAAAATAAAAAAGTAAATCTTATTCACGAACCCAATTTGACTTTTTATACGAACGAGGATGTACTTGACAAGTACGTGGATAATAATAGCGGCACACTTTAATTTTAATCAGTGGGGGAATGTGCCAAAAAGAATTAATAAAAAAATAATGTCGATTAAAATTTAAAAAAGAAACATTTAATTTTCACGGCGTGCGGCGGCGGGGACAGGAGGGCGTCGGGGTGTGCCGCCGCCGACGCCGCCGCCGTGCAGCCGCCTCTGCCTGCGCCGAGGCGCGCGTGCCAAGCCTCCCTCGACCGCCCGGAGGTCGCCGCGTGCCCGCCCGCGTCGTCGCAACGGTCGGGAACGCTCCAAAATAAAAGGGCCAAACTCCCTCACGCGCACACCAATCACCTTTCTCTGTCTTTTTCGTCTGAAACTCTCTCTCTCTCTGTCGCTGTGAACGACTCTCATGGCGACCTGTTTCTACCCTATCCAGGCGGCGGAGGATTTCATCCCTCTGCCGGAGACCACGCCGCCCGACCAGATTTCGCGGCCGTCGTGCCGCCGCCTCCGGAAATACCGCATAATCCCCGAGTTCTGCGCGGCGAAATCATCGACCGGCGACTACAACGCCGCCGCCGCCGCCGCCGCCGCCGCCTCTGTCCCCAGGACCCACCACCGCAAGCGGTCCAGAGACGCCATCGGCGACGACCACTTGAGCGGCGATTGCTTCTCGGCGAATCACGATCCTCGCAAGATGACCAAGGCGTCGCCGTCTCTGGGGCACGAATCGGAGATCGACCCTTTGATTTCCCAACATGTAAGTAATGACCCTTCTTTCCTCCTTTCCTTTTTTAAATTTTGCCTTTTCTCCTCGTCATCGTCGTGAGTTTGTGTTGCTTCGACAAGTCTTTGATGGACTGATTAGGGTTTATGACTTGTTCTGGGATTTCCACAAACAAAATCCTGACAACTTTGTTCTTGACTTCCTTACAGACGCAGGGGTTGGCCAGAAAAATCAAGGAAAAAGACGAAGAGATCACGAAGATGGGGGAATTGAATCGGCTCCTCCGAGAGCAAGTGAAGTCCCTGTTGTCGGAGAACCGCATCTGGCGGGGCCTCGCCCAGGACAACGAGGCCGAAGCCGACTTCCTCCGTTCCAAACTCGAGCACGCCCTCGCCCGCGGCGGCGGCGGCGGGGTGGTCGACGACGCGGAGTCCTCCTGCTGCGGGAGCAACGATGCCGGGACGGCGGGCGCGGAAGGCGGCGATGCTGCTGCGGCGGTGGAATCGCTGAGGCCGGGGCGGTGGTGCACGGGGCGCTGCTGGGAGACGGTGGTGCTGCTGCCGTGCAGGCACATGTGCCTGTGCGCGTCGGCGTGCGGGCCCAGCCACCGGAACTGCCCGGCGTGCGGCTCAGCGATCGCGGCGAGCGTGCACGTGAATCTGTCGTCGCCGTAGACGGTCGGAAGGGCCCTGGGCTGGAAAGGTGAAAAGGAGAGAAAATAGGGGCGAAAAGGGGAAAAAGGAAAGAACATAGGGGAGGAAAAGTAAATAGTCCCTTTTTTTTTTCTTTTTTTGATAGGGAGGTTCTTTGATATCTTTTTAGTTGGAGAATAATGTGGAAAAAACCATCGAGAGGGATGGTTTTCTCAATTTTGTGTAAATACAATACAATTCATAATAAAATGTTCTTTTTCTTTTTCTTAATCACGGTGTTCCAATTTTTCTGTTTTGGAAATCATTAATTGACGATGCGAAATAATTTGTTGCCTTTCTAATCCCCTTTTAATTTCCTTAATGTGATCGAATATGAATATTAATCCAACATATGGTCGTCGACATTCACAAATCTCTTTCTTTTTGTACCTTAAACTTCCAAAAAATTTAGAGAAAAATGTTCTCTTCTACTCTTTTGTTCTTCAATCTTGTGACTAGACGATAGGTCATTAACGCGAAATTCTAAAGATAGTCATCCAAATGCACATGAAATGCCCGAAAAATGTTGATTTTCCAAAAAGTGATGATATTTTTTCAATCATTATATCAAGAATATAAAGAGCTTTTCCATCACTTTTCTTCTTCTTCTTCTTTTTCATTTTTTCTTCCAAGTTAAAGTTTTTCTTTTTGGTTGGCTATGCAAAGGATAAAGAATGTACAAGGAAAAGATTAAAAAAAAAAAACAAGAAAGGAAAAGGGCAACGCACTAATTTGGTACTTTGGTACTTTTCCCGTTCAAAGAGGTCCTTAAAAAGGAAATAAAATTATTACAGGATCGCGCGTGTTCAGTTTCAATTTTCCAGATGAGATAAAAGACATCACTAATACTCGTACCTTTAAAGTGACCTTATTTAATCTATTTCATTGGTCAATTCATGATGTCATAATTCGAAAAATCATTTATGCCGGAAATAGAATTCTTTTACTTCATATTAACATGAATAAATATAATCTTCTTCTTGTGACTCCTCGTTAAATAGCATGTTTGTAACAAAATTTAGTTATTATCATATGGCCTTTTATGATATGTAAGCTTTTCTCAGTTATAATAATTGGTGCAAAATCATGAAAAAGATCATTTATTGAAACCGAAGCAGGTTTAATCAGTATATGTTGAGGAAACAGTCCAACTCTTTGAAGTATATTAGATACAACGTAATGAGCAAGTAATATGATTAGTTAATTACACCACGTTAAGCATGTACCCGATGTATAAAATATTGCTTTCCTTTTTATGGGATTTGGAAGGATAAAAGAATATATGCATTAAGCATAGTATAAAATTTTGAACTTCCTCCAGCATATAGTAGCACAAATCTCAGCCATAATCTAACGAAGAGAGGGTGATCATGCACAAGCCCATGCGTCGTTGAATAGAGAGAAAAAAGAGACGCTAGAATCCATTCACAAGCCATGGTGCGTACTTCGACGCAGGCCACAGGCCGACATGATTACGAGGATTACACCAGTCTCTTGCCCGATTGCCCAATCCACCACATCTTCTCCTTTTTGCCCACAAGGGACGTCATCAAAACTTGCATTTTGTCGAAAAGGTGGCGGTCTATTTGGACCACTATTTCAGATCTTAGGTTCGACTCTTTTTATGATAATTCGTTTGTGGATGGGGTTTTGAGACACTATGTGTCATTTAAGGTGAGAAAGTTCCACCTTGACATCATATCAAAGCGGGACTTCTGCCCCTCTACCACTGATTTATGGGTTCACTTTGCGATTGATCATCAAGTTGAAGACCTTGTTCTCATAGTGAACATTTGTTGGAAGCATTACTGGTCTCCATTGCTTTATAATTGCTCTTCGTTGACTAAGCTATGCTTAAGAGGCTGCTGTTTCTCCTCTAGCGAAAGCGTTAGTTGGAGTTCGCTTAAGCCCCTGTCCATTGAAGGTGTTGGTGATGATGTGCTTCGGAAGATTTCGATGGGCAGCCCTGTTCTTGAATACTTGAATCTCATAAGATGCCCGGGTGTAAAAAGAATTCATCCGAGAAGTTTGAGAGAGTCGGTGATCGATGATGTTCCTGTCGTGGAATCCCCTTTGGAGATTTCGACTCCTCATTTGCCGTTGTTGCATTCGAGAGGGATTATTTTGAAGAGATGATAAGAATTATTGAAGCACCGTCCTTAGTCAATGCGGAATTAGATATCAACAATCTAGTCAAAAGTGTTAGGGTGTGGTTCAAACTATTACCTATATATATATTATCTTTCTCTTGTAATTGAGAGATTAACAGAGAGGTGCGAGGTGCTAATTATAGTGGAATTCTTTGCTGTGCGTAACTCTAGTTTATGGGTAAATTAGGATAAAACCTTGCGTCTCAATTCTCTTTCTTGTTTTTTACTCTCTATTTTTTTGTGATTGTGCAAGGAATCCTAACAAAAAGTTGCAGAACACTACTCAAATTCTTTTGGGCGGTTGGTGCCACTGGATGAGCATATTCATCTTAGTTCCTAATGGACATCAATTTTTTCTATGTAGTTTTTTTCACTTACGGTGATGGGCTTTATTCTACCAAAGTTTATGGATGTTTTGGGATTATATTGATGGAATTGTCTATGAGAAAAAAAAAATACTGGTTTGTGATGTACTTAAGAGAAGTTTAGTCTATATTCCATCATTCCAAGTTAGTGCTAACGTAACAAATAGAAGGATGTGACCCTCTGCAAACTTTTTTTTTATTGATCTGACTTTACCATTTGATGTGGTTAGGTTATGTGGTCTCTGAAGGTAGAAGATGTGCAGGTTTCACTGCCGAATTGCAACTCTCTAACGCTACACATTCCCTTTCGGCAATTCAGCTTTCCTGCTATAGCTAATATTCTAGCAACTACTCCAAATTTGGAGAAGCTTGTCATAATTTTTGAGCCATCTGATTGGTGCGTCCACTGGGTATACTCCTTAAACTCTAATCCATAGGTTTAGATACTTAAGAATTAACCGGAATGTACCAAAGACTTTCCCTTCCTTTGTCTTCTTGAGTCCATGAACTAATGACACTAGTATATGATCTGTTTGTTTCTTGACTGTCACAATCTATGTTTCAAATGCTCCCCCTATAATGCTCTAGATGCTTCACAACTGTCTCATCTAGGTTTTTTTCGTTTCTTTTTTGTGAAGGCCCATTGTGACGGTGACAATGAGAAGTTTATGCATGCATTGATGAACTTGAGTGCCCAAATTTTTGGTTTCCCTTGTTTATGATTTCCTCTAGTCTCATTATTGTAGGCTAGATATCTGATTTAACAATGGACGATTATTATTGCGGGTGATTGAAACATTATAGCGTGGAAATTAAATTGTGTTTTTGTTAGAATATTTACTATCTTTTATCCGTGTGCAGCGTAAATCTAGCTTAAACTCTCACAATGTTGATCATGAGAGCTATTGGCACATAAAGAAGAAGTTATAGACTTGGGCACGGAATCTCAAGAATGTTGAGATTTTTGGATTCTATGCTTTGTTCGAGAATCAAATATGAGGAAGTGCTTGTGCCGGTAAAGTTTGTGCTCGGACATGCATCTATTCTGGAAAATATGGTCATCAAAGTTATGCCTAAGCGTAAGGTAGTTGATTCACACGAATTGCTTGAAGTGGCCCAACGACTTCAAAGTCTTCACAGAGCTTCTAAGGGCCCGTTTGGTTCAACTTTGAAAATGCTATTTGGGGGAATGCAGATACCTTTGGGTGAAAGCCTATTGGGGAAATGCAAATGGTGTTTGGTAAAAATATTTTATAAAGCTACTTTGGGCAAAATATAGTGTTTGGTGAATTATTTTTGCAAATGGACTTTGAGAATAAAAAACCTAACTTACCCTTCGTCGGAGCCGGCGCCGGCCGGCCGCCGGCGAGCCAGATCTGGCGCCGGCGGCCGTCGCCTGAGGTCGGGTGACCGCCGGCGGGCTAGATCTGGGGCCGGCGGCCGTCGCCCGAGGTCGGGTGACCCTCGGCAAGGGTCGCGGGACCCAAGCGGCCACTGGGTCCCGCGACCCTCGCCGAGGGTCGCCCGGCCTCGGGCGACGGCCGCCGGCCTCTTGCCGGCCCGATCCGACGCCGGCCGCCTTGCCGGCCTCCCTCGTCGGCCACCTCACGAAGAAGATGAACAGTACACACGAGGGGCAAAACCGGAATAAGCCAAAATAACTAAGGATAGTTTGGGGATAAAAAATTTGGGTTCAACATTTGGCAAATGCTGAAAGCCCAAAGCTGGTTCGGACCAGCTTTGGGCTTTGAGCATTCCAAATGCAAGCATTTGGCAAATGCTGATCCAAATGCTGAACCAAACGGGCCCTAAGCAAGCTGAGGTTGTATTCAATTATCTGGAAGAAGGGCTCGGAAAGCAGTGAAATATAACAACAGGCTGTTTGCGGATAAGCCATGAAAATACCTAATTGGAATAGGAACATTGTGCGCTGCAACATCGACTACCTTGTCTGGTTCTAATAATGTCTCATGTATGTTTTTCAGTGTTTTAAAGCAAAGTTCTAGGATTGTATTTTGTTTTGAAATTGTTTTGGAACTCCCTTAGTTTACGGCCCTTTTTCCTGAATAGGTTATTTGCCATCTTGTTTACTTATTGAGATCTTATATTGTCATGGAAATATTCGGGTTGCTTTAATTGATCTTCTTTTTTTGACATCCTAAAAATTAGAAGAAAACCAAAAAACTTTGCCTATCTAATAGCATTGACGCAAAAATTACAGCACAGGGATCAAATTAGTTATGAAAACATTGAATCTATTTTAAAATAAGGAATAAAAGCACCGGAAGTCATAAAATTTGTCATGAAAGTGCAATTGAGTTCATTCATTTTTGTAAGCGATAAAGACGATAATTTTTAGAAAAATATTTGTTAAATTATTCATTTTCCGTGAAACAATCAAAGCCATACTTTTATTGGACAAACTTTGAACTTTAAACAATCTTAAACTTGTACTTTTAAGGGAAAAATTTTGAACTTTTGTTTGAGAAGGTAAAGACTCATAAATTGCATGGGTATTTGCCTTTAAGAAATAATAAAGAGTAGTCAAAACTGAATTAAGTGGAAATTATGACAATCTAAATCACTTAAGCAACTAAATCGACCGTGTGGATTAGTTTGATATTAGATTTGAGTGCATTTTCTTTTCTTTTAATGACGGATTCTTAGCCCGCAAGGGTTATATCTTGTACATTCAACCGTCATCTTCAAAGGAATACATCACTAGCACCCCGATCCATTGCTCCATTAGTTTCTTGACGCTGTTCAATGTTGGTCTAAGCAAATTGATTTGTGATTGCCTATCCAATAATCATTTTGAGTATATCTGCATATAAAGATATGAAAAAAAAAAGAAGCTAAGTCGGAAATGTAGAGCTGTCATAGGCTCTCTACAAGCTCGGCGAAAACATAGACGTTATCGATGTTGTCCGGTCGATTGTAAAGCATAGATTAGAGAACCTAAGTGAGAAAAAAAAAAAGCTATTGCATATGCTCATTCTATAGATGGTTCGATGGATGGAGCCAGTCACGATATAGAAACTGTTTCTGAACTTGAACTTCTTAATAAGATGATGTTGCCCAGTTTTCTAACCAGCACATTAAGAAAACATGCTTGGATTCGTGATCCGTCAACTCCACATTCCTCCCACTGGGGTCGATTTTCTTCTCCTTCACTTTTACTTTCTTTCCTCCTCTTTTAGTGGCTTTATTTCTTCCGCATGCCCTTTCTCGTGTTTGACACAACCTTGAGAGTTCACTGTTTCTTTTTTTGTCCCACGTTTTGTTCCAAGATGTTATTGGATTCCTGCATCTTGTCAGCTTGAATATTTCTTGGTTATTATCTCCGCAGCTGCATCCTGGTTCTCCTCATCCATTTTGTTCACGATGGCCGAATAGAGGGGAAATTTGAAACAAATGACATGTACACGTTGCTGTAAATGAAAATGGGACTGTACTTCTTCTCATAGTTTCATGTCCAGAATGTTTACATAGTTTTCAAGAAACATAAAGTAGGGAAAACAAAATTGCCACATGTTACTAAGCCGAAACTAGTACGTACTTCTTCATTTAAATCACAATAATTGCAGATATTGCTATTTCGAAATGATTAATCTCATAACCTCAATGTTTAATCAATTGGAAAATGGTCACCGATTAAGATAACTTATTTGATTGAATCTTCCTTGAAGAGACACATGTATTCCTTCATAAAACTTGCTAAGTATTCTAAGATGTATAATTTCAATGTTTAAACATTTTTTTTAGAAATTATTCCTAACCAGAATAGGCTACCGGTCTTAGCCTCTCATGCATAAATTGGTTGGACCCCTAATGACTTTAAAACTCCGGAACTCTTATACCTTATTTTTAGATTGCTGGCGGATACAAATGAGGGGACGAGACCCTTATTATACACGAACCCTTTAATTACAATCGTACATCTTCTCTTATCTAACGGCCAATATCTCATCTCCCTATCTACCAATAGCCCACTTTAATTACATGAATACTCTAGAACATAAGTGTATATTTTCCATATCATCCTCAAGGATATTTTGGAGTACACATGAAGTCTGTAGGCCCTTAGAAGCTTCAAGGCTTGTCTGGTCATCCCGGCCACTTCCTCGGCCCATTGTCCCCTGAAACCTCTGGTCCATGACACATGCCCGACAGAATACATTATACAGGTTTGGTGACGGTGTACGAGTCAACCGAGTCGAGATTGAGCGCGCGGTGCATCATACCCACAAAGCAATGCATAACGCATCTATCCCGACTGTCGCGCATGCACTTCGGATCTTTCTCGCCTGATTGGATTGAAAAAGAGTGCTAACATGTGCATCTGCATTTTATTTGTTTTTTCAGCTTCGGAAACTTCTTGAGGGAAAACGTGGCTTTGCAAGTATTGATAGTTTACTAAGCTATTCCTCGCGAATTTAATAAGCTAATCTAAGTACTAATAGCAATAATGCCATTCTTTACTAAACTCTCATTCGATATTCTAGATAATTACGGTGTAAGCTTGTCAAACTCTTTCTAATCTCGCTTTTTTCATCTCTAAAGGTAAAAGCCGTAGGTTTCGGCCCATAATCGCGAAAATAAATTTGAGAAGCATAACTAT